ACCCCTAATCCTAACCCCTCCCCCACACCTACTCCTAAACCTACCAATACTAGGGGATGCATAATCTGGCAGGGTGCAAATTTCGGCACTCCACCAGTGCCAAGTTTAAGAGCAGCGGATGATGTGGTAAATTTAACAACAACAGAAACACTAAGAGCAGCAAAATTATAGATTACTTTCACTAAAACACAGCAGAAAACAACAATGCTGCAAATATAGTTATTTTTCGTACTATATTTATCTATCTATAACCTATGACTCTGACTGTTCAAACCAGATGTGACAAGACGTTTCTGATCTACATTTAGTTATTTGAAAACTACATGGTTTGTGTGTTGGAGCAGGGTTGGAACTAAACTCTGCAGGGCTGCAGCCCTCCAGGAACTGAGTTTGACACCCCTGATCTAATCCATCCATCTCTCTCGCAATCTATCCTATCCCCTTAACCATTCCAATGCTATCCCATGCCATCCCTCCATCCCATCCTTTCAATCCATCCACCCAATGCCATGCCATGCAATTTCATTCCATCCACTCAATCCATTTTATCTGTCCATTCCATCATGATCCATCCCTTTGCCTAATCCTAACCCCACCCCTAATCCTAACCCCTCCCCCACACCTACTCCTAAACCTACCAATACTAGGGGATGCATAATCTGGCAGGGTGCAAATTTCGGCACTCCACCAGTGCCAAGTTTAAGAGCAGCGGATGATGTGGTAAATTTAACAACAACAGAAACACTAAGAGCAGCAAAATTATAGATTACTTTCACTAAAACACAGCAGAAAACAACAATGCTGCAAATATAGTTATTTTTCATACTATCTATTTATCTATCTATAACCTATGACTCTGACTGTTCAAACCAGATGTGACAAGACGTTTCTGATCTACATTTAGCATTAAGGAGTGACCCTCGACCCCAGGGAGTTAAGCTATAGGCTAAGAACTTTTTTTTTTTAATCATGTAATTATAATTGGGAAAATTGTTGTTAGATGGCTAACATAGAACTTAAACTTTGAAACTGCTAGTTATTTTCTGCTCAAGATGAGATTGTTTTGATTATTTTAGCTACAGTCAAACCAAAATGTATTCAGACACTGTCAACATTTCTCACGTTATCACAGTTTATTTGCTATAGTTTAGAAAATGGTAATAAAATATAACAAGAACTCTGAGTTAAACTGTGTCAGAACAAATTAATCTTGATAATGTTAGATTACTTTGATAGAAAGGTATGTAATGGATTACAATCAACGAACTAGTGTCCTGCACCCACTAGTAAAAAAATATCAAAAATTATATCCGGTATCTGAATAATTTTTGGCTTGACTGTACATTGTTTTAGGTAGATTGGACTCTTATAATAGAATTTGATTACAGAAAAACTGTTTTGAACATGGTAATGGATTAAAACATGTGTCAGAACAAATTAATCTTGATAATGTTAGATTACTTTGATAGAAAGGTATGTAATGGATTACAATCAACCAAAAATTATTCAACTGTTAAATTTAAGTACACAATTAGTTAATACCAATTTAGGTCAACTAATTACCAAGTAATGCTTACTTTTGTTCAGTCTGTGGTGTAAAAAGGTTGCATTAGCAATTAAAAAAAAAAAAAACACTTAAAGTCCCCATGAAATCAAAATTAAAGTTTTTTTGGGTGTTAGGATTACAGAAAAACTGTTTTGAACATGGTAATGGATTAAAACATTAGTAACAGGCTGGATGTACATTAACCTTACATCTTAAAACCTCTTTTTTTTTTGCTTTTTTACAAAGCATCATAGATCATATATTTTGTCTATAGCCTATAAAACAGCTTCGTAGATAGGAAGATTTCAATCCATAAGGATTCTGAATGGGATTTTTTTAGCGAGCCATTAAATGACTTGAGACTCGACTCAGACTCGTGACCAAAGACTTCTTGACTCGGACTCCAAGTTAAAGACTTGTGAACATCTCTGGTTTGAACTCTTCCTGTGAGAACTATAGTAGTAGTAGTAAGGTGTTTCTGTTTAAGAAGTTATTGGATCTGTTTGCTAATGTCATCTTGTGTTGTGTGTGCAGAACATCATTGCAGAACATGAGATCAGGAACATCTCATGTGCAGCTCAGGACCCAGAGGACCTCTGCACGTTTGCTTACATCACTAAAGATCTGCAGAGCAGCCATCATTACTGCCACGTGTTCAGCACCGTAGATGTGGTGAGACAAACACCACCATCATTGCACTGCATAAGAGATGAGCTCTTTCTCCATCAGTGGTTCTCAGCTGCTTTGCTTCAGTTCTATATGCTGATTTACAGTATTGCGAAAAAACGTCAAACTGCAAATGGCTATTTTGCAGATGTAAATTGGATTGAAAACCACCAAATTTGCATTTCACATTATGTCTGTCTGTGATATTCATAACAGACCTGTTTAATGGCCCACCAGGTGAGGACTACTGCTCTGAAATTCTCATATTTCTGGGCATTGAGAGTCTCTTTCTCTCTTTCTGTGGAGTGCAGAGCACCGTGGGCCGATTGCCAGGTCTCTGATAGTATCACACAGAGTTTTATAGGAGAGGTTGTGAGCAGCAGCCCATTAAAATTACATTGATCATACAGCTGCCTGAATGATACAGATACAGACACACACACACACACACACACTAGACCAATCATTGCCTCGAATACTTACAGCCAGACTCTAGTAGAGCTGCAACTAGCAGTTCATTTGATAATTCAAAACTCAAGCGATTATTAGAACTGATAATTGACTGATCAGGTGACAATCGCAACAATTAATAAATAGCTTTTTCTTTGAGTTAAGAGGTTGTATTAGACAGTGAAACAATCTTTTGAAAATACATCGAAATTACTTTTTAATATAAAAAGTTCAGTTCAGTTTTGATCAAAATTGACATTAAAGACATGCATAATATATGCATGCATCTTGACTGCACTGAGAAATCTTGATTCCAGAGTTTGTTTATTTGCACAGCCTGAATAATTCATTGCATTTAAAAGCATAAAAATGGGCCAGGGATTACTTTTAGATGCTCTAAAATGTGAGTTTTGCTCCCTTGTAGCAAAGTTTGACAAATGATGTTAATTGTATACCACGTTAGAAATGCAAGTCTGTATCTTCAAAAACTTGTGGGAAAAAAAAAGGAAACACAGTCTGAAGTTACAAGCCCTGATTATTTTGTGGAGGATCTGAGAGTTTATGTTCAGTAATGTGGTGTTTGTTTTTGACCTAGAAGAGAAAAGAACAACAAATCAAAACACCAAAATGATTTGTCATAGCCTTCATTACACATTACAGTATCTACAGCTGTCCTGGCGTCCCTTTACAGAGACTCAGTGATGTGTAATTCTATAAAAAGCTGCTCTCCGTTACACTATATGACATAGCTAAGCTTGTTATTACATACTTTATGAGTTTAAATGCCTCTTAAGTGCAGAATAATGTTGGAGGCCTGTACAAATGTATTGATGTATGTTTCTGTTGATGAGGCTATTAAAGAAACTTCTGAAGATGGATTGAGGTTATTTGAATACTTTGATCATTTCTTAATAGTGGTTTAAGCACCTCATCATGATGGTTAATTACCGTGTCTCCACCTCCCCGACAGAACCTGACCTATGAGATCATTCTGACGCTGGGACAGGCGTTTGAAGTGGCCTATCAGCTGGCACTGCAGGCCCAGAGGACCAGACAGCAGCAGAGCGCAGCGGGAGCGGCGGAAATCAAGACACAGACACACACACACAGACACAGACACACACGCACACACACAGACTCACACACACACACACACAGACTCACACACACATTCACATAGTATAGTCACATCAGATGGTTACCAGAAACAAATGACAGTTTAAAAAAAAAAAAAAAAAAAAGAGGTGGCCTTCCAAGAAGAATTTTTTTGACACTGTGTTTGAAGTTTTAAACAGTTTAAAATAACTTTTATATTGTAATATATATTTAAAATGTAATATATTGCTGTGATATAAAGCTGAATTTTCAGCATCATTACTCCGGTCTTCAGTGTCACATAATCCTTCAGAAATCATTCTAATATGAATTGATATTTGCTGATCAAGAAACATTTCTGATTATTATCAATGTAGAAACTGCTTCATAGTTTTTGTGGAAAAATTAAAATATTTGTAGTTGTAGGTAGTTCAAAAGAACAGCATTCATTTGAAATAGAAATGTTTTGTAATGTCTTTTTCCACTTTTAATCAAATGAATGTATCCTTGCTAGTTGAAAATATTATTAATTAAAGTATTAATTAAGGGTTCCTGCACAGTATGGAATTTTGAAATGGAAAATGTATAGGAACCCTGATTTTAAATGTCAGTGGTTAGCCACAATATGCTGTCAATACGCTACATGGACATACACTTATGTTCACAGGAAAACGAATTCTACTAATTTGTTCTGTGTTCACAAGTTAGCTTTTTCTGCCAAATTGATGATGACTAATCCTCATTGATCCTCACAAAATTCATCTGTGTCTGAATTTGTAGTCCAGTCAATGCTCTGTTTAGATGTTCTGTTGGTTTCATCCTCTCAATTCAGCTTATTCTTGTTCTCATTCTTGACACTTTCCATCGCTCTATTTCCGGTTTTCCTTTTCCCAGCTTTATTCACCTTGTCACTTCAGTAGCTCAAATAGCTCCCATGGTTCCTCTCTTTCTATGACTTAGTGCCAGATCCATATCTATCTTTTTGACCAGTACAGTGGAGCTCCCTGCTGGTTCTTTGAAGCATCACACATTGAAATGTGGCTACAATATATACAGTATATGAATGTTCAAAAGTTTGGAGCCAGTAAGATTTTTTTTGAAAGAAATAACCAACAAGCAAGGAGACGTTAATTTGGTCAAAAGTGAAAATAATCGTTACAAAACATTTCAGTTTCAAATATTTGCAGTTCTTTTCTATTCATTAAAGAATTGTGAAAAATGTTTTCAGCTGTTCACAAAAATATATTAAGCAGCAACTGTTTTCAACATCGGTAATAATGAGAAATGCTTCTAGAACAGCAAATCAGAATGATTTCTGATGGATCATGTGACACTGAAGACTGGAGAAATTCAGCTTTACATCACAGCAATAAATTACATTTTACAATATATCCAAATAGAAAACAGTTCATTTTATTTGTAATAATATTTCACAATATTACTGCTTTTACTGTATTTTTTTATCAAATAAACACAGCCTTATTGAGCATAAGACTGAAAAAAATCGTACCAATCCCAAACTTTTGAACCGTAATGTATAGCAGTTTTGAATATTCCGGGTTATACAGACTTGTCAGTTCACACAAAATGATTTTTGTCTAATCCAAACGTTTTTAACCATTAATATGTCTTTAAAAGCTTCAGGTCTCATTTAAAAGCTGAAACCCGACCCAAAGCTCTCATAATCGTATCTCTCGTGAGAGGCACTAGACTAAAGCTTTACATCCATCAGCTATATGATCGGCTGCCGTGGTTATTAATATCTCACAGAGTATTTACGCGTCTCCTCCCTCCTGTTTTAGGTGGAAGCCATGGATGTTGACGCTCACGCTCAGAGCAGTGCCACCTGGATCCTGGACTCCAAAGATCCCAAGCGCACCGTCAGCACCAAGTACGAGACCACCATATTCTGACCGGACGCTCCTCTCCTCCACGCCCCGCCCCCTCGCACCTTTTCCTTTCGCTCTGTGCCTTCACTCTCTAGATAGACTCTGACCTCCCCTCGCCGACCTGACCGAACTCCTTCCCCCTCGCTCTCCTCCACACAGAAGCCTCCTCTCCTCCACGCCCCGCCCCCTCGCACCTTTTCCTTTCGCTCTGTGCCTTCACTCGCTAGATAGACTCTGACCTCCCCTCGCCGACGTGACCGAACTCCTTCCCCCTCGCTCTCCTCAACACAGAAGCCTCCTCTCCATTCACCTCTTTCTTCTCCGTCTGTCTCGCACAGCTCTGGCTGTCCAGCAACCCTTTCCCGAGGCTGAAACAAACCTCCACTCTTACTCGACAAACACATTCGATTCTCTGCCCTTTAAGTTGGTACAGGTATGCCGCCCAGTTTAGGAAGCCCCTCTCACCTGTAGTCGTATCATAACGGGCCTGAAACCAAAGTAAAGCTCTGCCGAGGACCAGAACATCTCGTCATTTAACCTTCCTGTTTCAAACGTGAAGAAACTAACATTTCCTTCTCATTCTGCTCAAAGGACTCTCCCTCCATCATCCACACTGACGGTTCTTCTCTTAACTAGTTTTTCTTTCTTTTGCCCTTCTGTGGTGCTCGTCTCCGCCAGGCGTCGACCGCAGTGAGACACTGATGAAGACTTCATCTTCCTCCTCCTCTTCAGTCTGAGCTGAAACAACTGGACTCCACTAAACATGTAGCGTCAGATCGAAACTGTCCACACCGCCGAGGATTACGATAAAAGGCACTTTCCATGAATAGAGTACGGTACATTTTGGCGTCCTGTAATTTTTACACAATAAAGGCACAGATTGCATATTTAGAACTGAAACTTTTGATGAATCGTTGTGTAGCGTAAAAATAACATGGCATGGAAAGAGGACTTGGCTTTCTGACTGTGACCAACAATTGAAAGACTACAGCATAATTAACCTAATTAATTAACCTAAAACATAAATTACCAAATTAATAATTAATTGACTTTAATTATATATTTAAGTATAACATACTAAAAAACATACTGTGTCCCACAATTTGAGTGCGATCTGATTTATTTTTTTATTTTTTGTTATGAATTTTTCATAAAATTGTAACATAATTTAGGCATTTTTCTACAGCATGATGGGGGAAAAGTTAATAAATAATTCCATTTTCAATTCATTACACACATTAGTATTGACTGTTTTTGTCAACTTCAACTATTTGACCCAAAGTTATTGTAAGGAGGAAAAAAAAAATATGCGGCAAATACATTTCTTTAACTTATGGTAAATTTATCAATAGCTAAAATAGCTAACAACTGCGGCTGAATCAGTATTTTATTTTATTATTTTTAATAGAATTTTTTATTTTATTATCACTTTATTTTATTATTTTTTTTATTTTATTTACCATTTTTATATCATGTTGTTTTTTTTAATATTTTAGTGTTTTTGTTTACATTTTTAGTGAATGTAATTATAATGAATGTTTATTGAATCTCTATTTATTTTGTTTTATTTTTGTGTTTTTGTTGTTTTGTATTTGGTTTATTTCTTTAAAACACACAAATAAATAAATAAGGTTTTTAAACCGCATTTGAACATGAATTCGTATAAAAGTAATATTTGTATAATCTTAATTAAGTACAACTGCACAGTACTTAGTATTTGGTTGATGGACAAAGCTTTCTGAAGGTTAAGCACCACATTTCACTTTGCTATGAAGAAAACAAATGACTTCACAGGTTTTAAGCCCCATTTTGTACCCTTTTTTGTGGAAAGTGCCAGCAGACTGTCAGATGGCAAGCTTTGTTTGCATTTGTTGGGCTTCTTTTAGCTTGCATACTGGCATCTAAACCTTTTATTATGGGCTGTGAGGACTAGATGGATGTTTATAAGTCCTGTTATGTTACTATGCACATCTAATAGATGATATATATTCTGTCCTTCCCTCACAACCAGATGAGACATTAGACAGCTGGCACAAGCTTGCTAGAGTGCATTAGAAGTTAATTGGATTGGAATCGAAAGTACCTCACTGTAAATTTAATTTGCTGCCAGTTTATGGATTTGCGTTTAGCACTGTGATATTATGTGTTGTCTTAAGTCTGAGCTGGCAAACTAGGCTGGGCCTAAATGTCTGAACCAAATCACAAAGAGGTGTCTGAACAGACCGCCTGCTCAAAATGTGTCTGATGTCAAGGAGTCAAAGTAAAAAGTAATATTGTCTGCTTATTTTAGGCTTTATCAGGTGACACGTGCCCAGTAAGCAGACTATCATCAGTGTTGTAGTGAACGTGAGTTTGTACAAGTCTGTATGCCATATCACTCTTGAGTTTTGGAAAATCTGTTTGGATTTTATTTTCTTCTCGTAGGGATTTAAAGGTGGAATTATATGCATATGTTCTTCATAAGCCTTAAAAATCCTCATGTGATCTTGTGAATTATGAGTGCTTAAGCATTTATTGAAAAACTCACAGCACAGCATATATCATAATGGTATGGAAGCCATTTCGGCCACTTAAGAAAAAAAGCGTGCTTTGGTAATAGTTTTGGTAAAAGAATGCTTTGTACAGTCATAAATATGATGTATATAATTTATTTTTATGTCATAATTATGACTTTATGAGATAAATCATAAACATGATATAAAAAGGTGAAATTGTGTCAATTATGATGTGGAAGTTGGCGTAAATCAAATCTGATATAAAAAATTGAGAGTATGAGATAAAAATTCATAATTATGACGTATAAGTGACATGAATTGAAACTGACGAGTCAGAGTTGAGATAAAAATTAATAATGACTTTGTTCACTTCTTAATGTTATAATTATGCCTGTTTTTCTCAATTTCTACCTTTTATCTCATTGACTTTTTATCTCATAATTGGACTTTTTATCTTATATTTATGATTTAGTATCTCATAACTTCACATTCATTTTCTGTCATAATTATGATTTACCAAAGCATGGTTTTAATTTATTTATTTATTTTCTGTGGTGGAAATGGTCTTCCATATAAAACGACACACTAGCAGCCATTTTTATTTGTTACATCCCATTACAGTAAGGACTATTATAAAAAGATAACACCGTTCAGTGTCAAAGGTCAAATATGGATAAAGCTAGTGACCTATAATCAGCATCTCATGCAGACGAACATCACTTTAATGCCTACCACTGTCTCCATCCTGAAAGTTTTTCTCATTTTCCCATAACAATCATCTTTTTCTGTTGTTGTGCAATATTCAGTTCTTTCCTCAAAATCCTATTCCCTTGCACCCCGAAGGCTAGTTGTTTGCAAGCCCAAAAAAACTATGTGGGATCATCCTTTTGTAGCAGATCACATAATTAGTCATAAGTACTTCACAGCGGACAGTCAATAGTCTATAGTCAGTCTGCTGTCCCTGTTGAAAAAACCAGCATATGCTGGTTAGGTATGTTTTGATGCTGGTTTAAGCTGGTCCTTTGCTGGTTTATGCTGGTCCTTTGCTGGTTTAAATGGTCCTTTGCTGGTTTAAGCTGGTCCTTTGCTGGTTTATGCTGGTTTATGCTGGTCATGTGCTGGCAAAGGACCAGCATAAACCAGCAAAAGGACCAGCTTAAACCAGCATCCCAGCGTCAAAACATACCTAACCAGCATATGCTGGTTTTTTCAACAGGGGTATGTCTGTTTATCTCAAAATAAAGCCTGATGTGGGCAAAACAGAGTGACATTAATGCATAGATATGAGCTATTGTCTGAAGATCAGGGTCTGTATCCATCATATGCTGATTTTCTTTGTGAAAGTAAATAGTGTTGATTCACAGACTGTAAATTGTAGCAAAAATCTGGGCTAAATTCATGCAGTGTTTTCAATTCGTAAGGGTCTAATCGGTTAGCATGCTAACCACAAGCTAACTGAATATAACTATATATTTAGTTATATCACATATAACCAATTAGCCATGGAGTCTTTGGGGTCCAAAGGGGAGATGATTTTAGGGAAAAATGATTGGCACAACAGCGTCTTTCTTCTCTTCACCTTCATTTTAAACTTTCGTCATATCCATTGTAAATGGTATCCCACAGTCATTCGTTTGATTTGTTTTAATCCGTGTGTGTGTGTGTGTGTGTGTGTGTGTGTGTGTGTGTGTGTGTCTCCCTGTAGCTGACCGCTGTGTCGGATGCCAAACAGAAAGGAAAGTTGGGATGCCAATGACAGCATGACTGTGGATGAAACATCACGTGTATTGTGTGTGTTTATATATAGATCTATGTAAGTGTCAGAAGTCTCCTCACACCTGCAGTGAACTTCACCTTGAACACACAAACACATGAGCCAAAGACAAACAAAAAGCGTCCCGTCCAGTTTAACACACTTAACAAAACCCCTCTCCCTCTGAAAAACATCTGGCTTTTATCAGATTTCTGACTGACGCATTCAAGGACTAACACTGGAAGCAGTCACTGTATTCTCCCGCAAAAACAAGAGCCAGTGTTGACGTTGCCTTTGCTTTGATTTCTTTGAGTTTTGTTTTATTTTTATTGTGAAGCGACAGTCTACACACCCGTTTTGTCTGTGATTTTGTCGTCTAAACTGATGGTCTTTCATCTCACAAAGCGTAGATGCTTTTATTTTGTCTGATATCTTCGAAAATAAATCCAGCAAGTTAGAAACACTGATTCCAGTTCAGCAAAACACTGATTAGAGAGAACAGTCTTGTCTTTTGATGTCCAATTAAGATCAATCCATCCGTAAGTTTGATTCTTACTGTCAGTATTTTAAGTCAGGTGACCAACAGGCTTTAGTACAAATGTTTGTCAAGCTAAACAATTTGGGCAAGACCATTCAAACATAAGAATTGTGAACTACGGTGCGAGTTTCAATAGGAACGGTTTGGCCTTTGAAGGTCACAGACAGAAACTCGGTGCCAGATTAGTGAGAGATACTCGGTGTTGTGATGTCTTATGGTACACTATATTGATAAGTTAATACGTTTATGATGGCATGAGAATGGTACAGTCCAGATCCTGGTACTTGTAGTGACTCTTACACGTATACTGTGATTTCTTATACAAAATAATGGCGTTAATGTGACACTACAAACAACAGCGAGTTGCTTTTATGTGTAGAGTTTTGTGTCTTTCCTTTAATGATTAAGTTGCAGAAAGCAGGGTATGTCTAAAAAATAAAAACGAAACGGATGAAAAGGTTTAAAAATTGAAATTTGCATAGTCATCTGTCATGGACGAACCTGTGCTTATGTTTTGTGTAGATAATGATACATAAATATGAGGTGTAGATGGGAAATATTCCTGTATTCATTTAGCCCTAGTTTACAAGGATTTTAAGTATGGTACTTTTTATTTAGATTTTTTTTCTTCTTCGTTTTTAACATGGTACGTTAAAAATGGTTACAGTGCTAAATACAAGCAGATGCTAATGCTAGCACCTGTAACAGCTGCAGTGTTTGCACAACTAATAACAACGTTAGCAAATACAACAGTGACAGTTCGGATCATGTTCTTGGCTAAATGATTAAAATATAAACAATATCGAATTGTAAAGTAATCCTGGGTGGTCTGTCTTTTGATACTTGAATGATTCTGCTTTTATAGATCTCTCTCTCTATATATGTATATGTATGTACTGTATGTATTTTTTTTTCTTTAACTTTTTGGTCATGTTTTTGTCATATCTAGAGAGGAACGTCTTTTTAAAGCTCAACATATCATGATGTAAGTGAGCATGAGACAGACAATGGAATCTCTGAGAGACTTTGCCACAGAATCAAAGAACGATTGTAAATAATCTTGGGCTTCCAGTCTTTTTTATGATTATTATTTTTCATAATTGTACATCCAATAAATGAAGAGATGGTATCCAGTGACCTGTCTTTTTTTTTTTCATTTAATCCAAAACTTTAAGTGGTAAAAGAAGAATATTACATATAAATGCATATTTTTATTTGATTTACAAAACGTCTTCAGCTCATTTGGTTTAGTGTAAACATGAATGTGCTAAAGCCATTGTGTTTTGATTTACATTTGATTTCTTTATTGAAGTGTTTCAAGCTTTTTGCAAATAATGGGTGAAACTCGATGATGTTGAAGTTGCAAAAGTTTTATTCAAAAACATTTAGGAGCAGAAATTCCTTCATTTTAGACCTGCAAGATGTTAAATGAACATTTGGACACAATATCTTAATGTCCTGTTGACAAGTATTACAGAAGACACAGCAAAAACGTCACTCGACAGTTTCACACAACATCATTTAAACATTTCCCAGACAAGAACATGCAATTTTTTTTTTTTTACAATATCAAAGAGTCAGTCTGAAATGTAGTGTTGCAAGCTGACGACAAAATAATTTTAAGTGATAACGTCTGATTTGTTCCTTGAATGCTGACAAATGTGCCACAAAAATATACAGTCAAATTTATTTTTCTTTGGACAGTGTCAGTGTTTGACAATTGACATTACCTTTTGATGTGCCAATATTTGTGTGCTGAAAATGTCCTGCTTTTGTACATTTTGTCAATGTGCTTTTTGGTTCTTTTGTTAAATGGATTCATGTGCTTCTAAAATTGTGAACTCCATAAGTCAACAGTTAAGTAATGGCTCATTCTTTTCTTGTTCTTTTGCAAACGTTTTACATTTACCAGTAAACAAAACCACACATATTGAGCCAAAACAACAGCAGCAAATTCTCAACCAATCACCAGGTTAACTTCTGGGGCCAGTTGCATAAACACTGCCGATATGTTAATATGCTTCTTAACTTCAGTTATGAAGTTAAAAAGTTACGACTAGTCTTGAAAAAAGAGAGATGACTACTAGTCAGTTCAAGCAATAGGCCCCTAAACTTTTTTCTCTTATCATGAAATGTTCTCAGACTGAAAAGTTTTTATGAAAGAAATTAATGTTTTAATCAGGTTTGGAAATGCTCAAGACCACCACTGCATTGTAACAGTCTGAGAGTGACTCTGAAATATCAAGCATCAAAGCAATGTATAGGAACAGAAAGATGCTCCCAGAGTTCATGTTAATTACGAAAAATTTACATTCATTTGCCATTAGCCTTTCTGTCTTGTACATTTATATTCATCATCAACATTTCTGGATTAAACTGCAAGGCATCTTTGTCAGACAGTCGCAAATAATCGGTAAACTCTGTAATCCAAATATCTTTACTTTTTTCTTGTTAAAAGGTCTCATTTCACACCAATTATTAAACAGTGGTCACGGACAGCAAAGGGTTGAACACTTTCTTCCCATCTACAGAGCGGGTCCCATGTGCCAGCAGCTCCTGAATGGTGATCCAGTTGTCCAGGATGCGTCGACTGCGTTTCTTCATACTCTTTTTCTGGCTCAGCTCAAGTATGGAAGCCTGTCCTTGAGGTCCGGAGTCTTGTTCCTTCTCTTTCTCCCGCAAGAAGTCCAGTCGGCTCTGCATCATGAACTCACGGCGTCGCCGTTGCTCGCGAGCTCTCAGCAGCTGCTGCTTACGTTCCTCCTTGCTCCAATAGCGTCCCATCTTCATTTCACCGACCGCATCATCGTCCGTGGTCATCCCACTGCGCTCCTCTCGAATCTTCATGGCCCGAGCCTTTAGCAAACGATCTCTTACCGGACGTTTGGCGACATAACGCGAGCCATCGCTGCGGATCTTTACCTTCCACTCCATTCGAGGTGAAGATGGAGGCAGTGGAGGAGGTATAATCAAAGAAGTTGCAGGAGCAGCTGTGGAGTCTCTGTTTGCACAAGTTAAGGTATTGGAGTGAGAAGGAACCTCTTTATTGGCGTCCCTAACTTCTGGACTGTTGTTTGTAGACAAGTCCTTCAACTGCATGCAACTCTGGTAGCGTTGAGGCAGCGTGGTACTGCAGCGGCGACGGGACAAGTACGGACTGTTTTCTGCACTCCTTCCCCCTTTCGCGATCCCGGTAGTGAGAGTCCCATTTGCATGGGACCCCCTTCGTGCTCCATCCAAGCCCTTTCTACTACTCCCGCCATTCCGGGATAACGACCGAAGCCTTGCTGGAGTAGAGCTTTTGTTGTCCACTGTTTCTTCACTCTTTTTCTTGGCATCCGATGGTACATTTAGATTCGTATCCCTACTTGTGCTTGTTCTGTGATGGGGCGTCCGAGGTCGCATGGTTGCAGAGGCACTGGAATCTCCGGCCGCAGACAGTGAAGGGTATCGCTCACTTGCCAAAGGCGTGCTTCTGCAACTTTCCCCACCGGTATTATAAGCACTTGTGCTCTCTTTATCAGAGCGTTCCCTTTCTGGGATCTCGTTGATATCCGACAGGTCATGGTGGATCGCCTCTGCACCTCCACACCTTGCCTTTGCTCCTTTTTCTTCATCGTCCTCTTCATCAGCTGGCCAGACCTTTAGGCAGCGTTGGCGCAACTGCTGCATCTTTTGAGCCCGCAAAACATTGCGCCACTTAAACTCCAGGTGACGTATTTCCTCATCGAGAAGAGCAATTTCGTGCTGCATCAGGCTCTCGTTACAATTCATGTCTACAGGAACACCTGCTCCTGCAAAATCCCCAACTCCTCCACCATGGTTCCTTCCATCCAAAAGAAAAAGTGCATTTCTGTTCTTCTCGTAAAGGCAGCGGATCTCCAGTAGCTCTCGGTAGCGTTCATATTCCTCTTCAGTTAACCCTGGTATCATTGACCCTGGCAGATCCACCACTCCCACTGCATCTGGCCCCAGCAGTGAGTCGTTGCTGTAGTGAAATTCCCATCCATGCTGAGCAGCGCGAAACTTGCGCAAACTGCCGGGTGTATTGGTGGCATTGGTCGTGCATGCGCTGGTGGCATCGTCAGCCAGCTCGGAGGACTCCTCGCACCGTGTACTTTCATCGGTGCGACCCACCCCGCTGTCCAGCTCCTGGCTGTTATTGAGCGCAGTGTGCCATAAGTTGGGCCGAGCAGCTCGGATCCCATTGATGTCACTCAGCACAGAGCTGGTTTTCCTTCGGTGCTGAGGACTGGGTGAGTTCGAGACATTTTCCAAGTCCTCTAGATCCAGGCCCTCGGCCAACTCCAAATCCAGATCATCAGCCTCATTCTGCCAAGAATGCATGTTTGAAATATTACAAAATGGGAAGAAAAAAAAAACGGAATTAGTCAAATATTAAAATCACGCTAAGAATTGTGTGCAGACAAATGTGTATTGAAAAACAACAACATTCCGATTGGTGTAAAGCAGTGATTCACAACAATGCACATTTTGCATGACTCTTTTGTCTGACACACCCATTTCAGGTCTCAGAGCTGGGTAGATTATTTACTAATTGTAGTTAGTAAAGTAATCCATTACATTACACATTTTAGGTAATATAATCAGTCTACTTTTAGATTACTTTTGACCTAACTCATTTATCACAATGATTTAAATAGGATAATCTTGTACCATACTGACATAAAAATACAAAAAGTAAGAAAATATTCCATTCATTGTTAACAAGTGCATTAAACATTATATTACCTTAAGATTTCCTAAACTGAGGTTCATAGAACTGCAGGAGGTTCGTGAGTTTAATGAAAAGCTAATCATTCATTAAATCATAAACATGTAAAATTAAAATTAAATTGTTTTAAAATAACATAAAAAAACACTTAGTAAAAAATGAAATAATTAGTTTACCTGCATGTCATGTGACCATTAACCAACGTCAGAGAACTGTGAACGATGTGGTACTTAATTATTAAAATATTTATTTTAACATTTCGGTGGTACTTCAAGTAAATATATTAGGTGAAAGAGGCTCAGATGACCAAAAAAGTTTGGGAATCCCAACATTACATGTAAGTGTGAAATAACGTGAATTTGTCTGAAAGACAAAAGACTTCTAAAGACTTAATAATACATGGTTAATTAATCCACTGAGTAATTCAAATAAACATAATTTCATCAGTAGTTGATGTAATGTTGAAACACTTCTTAAAGCTGAATTTTAATGTAAAAATTTAACCCAATAGCTGGGTTAGTCCATATTTGACCCAAAGTTGGGTTGAAACAACCCAGCATTTTTTAGAGTGTAACTGTAGTCTCATTACGGGTATTTTAAAATGTAATGTAATGTAATCACAAGTACGTAATGATCCAGATTACATGTAATCAGTTACTACCAGCTCTGAGTCTCTACTGATGAGCTGATGACCTCAATCAGATGAGTTTGACTAATGAGACATGTAAAATGTGTGCTATTTGCTCTTATGTACGTGGCTGGGATCCACTAGTCCAGGGATGTCAGATTCAGTTCCTGGAGGGCGACTGTCCTGCGGAGTTCAGCACCAGCTCTAGTTAAACACACCTGAACCAGCTAAAAAAAAAAAAAGCTAAACTCTGCAGGACAGTCGCCATCCAGGACCGGAGTTTGACACGTGCACTAGTCTAAAGCAGCAACCACATTAAAATGTCCTTGTTTAAGCAGCAGAGGGCAGTGTTTGTCTGAGTAAGCCCATGTCTGGATACTGTAAATGATTGTAGGGTCTTTTCCCATCTGTTGTAGGAGACATCTAAACGTGAGAGGTTTCTCAAATGAGCCACCTGTGCTGGGGAATATACTGGCCCAAGGGCTCACACACCATCTGGAGCGTCCATAAAACACACAACATACACACACACTTGTGTGCTACTGACCCCAAATCCTAAAAACTGTGGAATCTGTAGAATATTCTCATCTCTGGTTTTAATCATCTTCCACTAACTGTTCTTTAAAAACAAATTCGATTTTTTACTTCATACCAAATTCATGAATACATGTACAAGTATTTTAGATATTGAATACAATTACAGATATAATTTTATTTTAGAATTGGGCCCAAATGAGTTTTATTCAGACCAATTGATTATATGAAGCCTCTTCATCGACATAACCTATAAACTTGTACATTTTAATAAAGAAAAATATCTGTCTTTGTGGGTTCCAGATCAGCATCTTTCTATACTTAATATATCAGGATTATTATATGCAAATAAGATGAATTTTTTGATATCTTGATGACTTTGTTTTCCTTGCACAGCTTTGTGTTAAATAGCATCATGCCAAATGAACTTCTTAAACATGCCTCAGACTTCAAATGTTGACTTGGTCTATTTGTATTCATGAACTGGGTCATTCCTCCGGGGTTTGCATTATGTTTTATTTAAATATTTACCAGTGGGATACGGACTGTTGCTATGGCTTCCACATGGGCTAAAGATGATAAATCTGGTTGTTAAAGCATGTTGACTGACAATGAGGTTTGGGACCAATCAATGAAGAGACTCGCACGCAGTGGGAATCACAAAGAAAGACATTGTTCATCATTTTTGTGTTAAACAAACTTGTTTGTTGATTTTGATTCTCTCTCTTTGCTCCGTTGTAGATTTGTCATCTGATTTTATTTCCCTTGTCAAAATGAGCCTGAACACTGCATGGAATACTATATATCCCACAATGCAATGCACTCAAGTTGACCTTCAATTTCAGTGTGATGGATTAAACTGTCTGCAGTAATGAATATGGCAATTTTAAGGTATTTTATACAAAATTGCGATGAAAATGGAAAATAATTTCCAATATGATAAATGGATGTCACACCTGCAATGCAATGTGGTCATGTGATAATATAGCATACTACAGTTTGTTTATTGTATAATAATGGCTACTTTTATTTATTTATTGATTTTTTTATATATATATATATAGTGTAATATACAGTGTTCAGTAAGTAGTATTCCATTCTGAACACAGCCGATGTCTTAGGCTGCCATGGAAATCTGTTGAAGGAAATTAAATGGACATGGTGACTCGCTGTTGGAGGTGGTGTATTATGGGATGTCCTAAGTGTGTTTCTCTCTCAAGCATAACCTTGAGTAGAACAAAAGACTGCCGAACCGACCCTGTGTGTCCTTGTCTCTCCTTGTTTTTTTTTTCTCTGCCATTCTCCTCTCCAGTAATTTCCTCGTCGGGGTTTCTGTCCTACTCTGACCTCTCCTGTCTGTTTTCGTTTGTAAACAGAGAACAGAATGAAGCCATGTGTCCACCTGTACACTAAAACACATTTGTCCGTTACTGCTTGAATAAGCAGACCATAATACACTTCACGTAATGTCTGAATATCAAATTTGTTGCCGTTAATGGCTTCAGTAATACTTTGTCATTCACCAAAGCGCAGTGTTTCACTACTAAATCCACAGCAAAAGAAATTATATTTCCTCGAGTTATGAGTTCACGCTTTGAATTGAATGCAGTGAGATAAAGGCTGGGTGCCTCAAACCGATTCAAAGACAATAAATTGGCAACATGTCTTTCAATTACACTCCCCCTGCTGCAAGAAAATTATGTAGGAAACTGCCAAAGCGATTAACTTAATTGAATAAAGTGATCATATCTGACTGTGCAAATATAGGCCTACAGTATTTATAATGGTTTATTCCAATAACTTCAAGGTGAGTCTCACCTCAATATCTGGTCGTGCCAGTAGCAGAGAGATGTTGGTGCTGTCCTCTCTGGTCAGGATGGCCACAGCTTCCTCTCTGTTCTGGACATCCATCCCATTTATCTGAGCACAGATACACATTAGCATTATTTCACATCACATATGTGACCCTGGAGCACAAAACCAGTCTTAAGTATCACTGGTGTATATTTGTAGCAATAGCTAACAACACATTGCATGGGTCAAAATTATCAATTTTTTTAATGCCAAAAATCATTAGGATATTAAGTAAAGATTATGTTCCATGAAGATATTTTGTAAATTTCCTATCGTAAATATATCAAAACGTAATTTTTGATTAGTAATATGCATTGCTAAGAACTTAATTTGGACAACTTTAAAGGTGATTTTCTCAATATTTTGATTTTTTTGCACCCTCAGATTCCACATTTTCAAATAGTTGTATCTCGGCCAAATATTGTCCTATCCTAACAAACCATACATCAATGGAAAGCTTAAATTTAACGTTATGGTCCCTCTTATTTTAAAGACAATGATAAACATCTTAAGGAATTTGGAAGGAGTGTTTATAAGCAGAGAATTAAAGTGCACCCCAAACATCCACTAGCTCACTATTAAAAAGAATGTTGTTCAAGCCACTAACCTTAAACTCAACTTAATTTGTGTTTTTTAAGGAAGTCGATCAGTTACCTGCAGTATTCTGTCTCCCTCACGGATTCGGCCATCTTTAGCAGCAATGCTATTAGGGTTGACCTGCAACGACAAGACAGAATATGTGTCTTTCTCGGACAAAATTTAAGGAATATTCCAGGTAAATACAACTTAAACTCAAAGCTGTTCATTACCAAATAATGAAAACTACGCAACTTTAGGTCCTCTAGCGGATGAAGCGCAAAATGACAGGTTACTTGCAGAGGAACATTGTTATGGTAGTTACGTGAGTTGTGCGTCGTCTCTGCGCTGTGCGGAATACGCGGATGAATCTGATGGTGTGTTGATGTATCTGTCATCTACTACAGTACGAACGTCAGTAACTGTGTGTCCATAGATATGTATACATATATCTATGATAATGTCACTAACGCTATGACAAAAATTATAATAAAAATAATTAATTGATAGAAAAAAAGATGGATATCCAAAAAATATATCTATTATGAGCAAGCAAGTAGCCACTGTTGGTGTGCATTTTATATCAGATAAGGGGAACGATACCAACATCCATCTCTACTCAATTTCAATTTCACTTTATTTATAAAGCACAACTAAACACAACTACCGTTGACCAATGTGCTGTACAAAGTAAGTAACCATTAACAGAATTAAAACAAAGACAAGGTCACAAATAAAACTGCAAGGCAAAGCAATGCAAATCATGAATAATACGCCAGATCAAATAAAAATGATTTTAACCTAGATTTAAAAACGGATAGTGTAGTGGTCTGATTTCTGTAGGAAGACTATTCTTGCTCGATCACCCCTAGACTTGAGTCTGGTTCTAGGAACCACTAAGAGCCTTAAATGGGCAGACCTAAGCGGTCTTGCAGGTTGGTGGTCTATCGACAGATCAGAGAGGTATGAGGGTGCTAAACCATTTAAAGACTTAAAAACCAATAAGAGCGCTTTAAAATTAATCCTGTAGCGCACAGGTAACCAATGTAAAAACTGAAGGACAGGGGTAATATGCTCACACTTTCGAGCTCCTGTCAGGACTCTGGCAGCCGCAATTTGAACCATCTGAAGGCAGTTTAAAGAAGATTGACTGATCCCCAAATAAAGAGAGTTACAAGAATCAAGCCTCGTGGTGATAAAAGCATGGATTACTCTTTCAAAATTAGTAAAAGAAAGAAAGGACTTAATTTTTACCAGTGTTCGCAACTGATAGAAGCTTGATTTCACAACTTGGTTGACTTGTCTATCAAGCTTTAAGGCACTGTCCAACACCACACCCAGATTTTTCCAGAACATCAAGATTTAGATTTGGTATACAGTGTGTATCAGAAGGGGTAAACACCACAATCTCTGTTTTACTCTCATTCAGACTTAAAAAATGTAGGGACCTCCATGCTTTAACATCCAAGAGGCAGGCGGCCACCGGGTCTAATCCATTCTTATGTTTCAAAGGAAGATATATTTGTGTGTCATCTGCATAACAATGATAACTTATACCATAATTCTCAAAGACAGATCCGAGGGGAAGCATATACAAGGAAAATAACATGGGAGCTAGAGTAGAGCCTTGAGGGACCCCACAGGTCAAAGGTACAGAAGAAGAGTGAAATTTGCCAATATTGACTGAGAAACTCCTGTTCGTAAGATAAGACAGGAACCAATTTAGGGCTGAACCTCTAATGCCCACTACCTGTTCTAAGCGGGACAGAAGAACATTGTGGTCTACAGTGTCAAAAGCAGTGCTGAAGTCTAAAAGTACCAGTGCTACAGAATCTCCAGAGTCAGTAGCTAAAAGAATGCCATTAAACACTTTTAAAAGAGCTATCTCAGTGGAGTGAAATTTTCTAAAGCCTGATTGGAACGCATAAAAATGTTTGTAATCGACCAAGAAACTTTGGAGTTGATGAAAAACGACTTTCTCTATAATTTTTGCTAAAAATGGAAGATTAGAAATGGGTCTAAAATTTTATATATCAGAGGAATCTAAATTAGGCCTCTTAAGTCTGGGTTGCACTGAGGCATGTTTTAAATGGTCAGGATTAACTCCTATCTCGAGGCATTTATTAATCAAAGTTAAAAGTGTTGGACCCATTACAATGAGCACTTGTTTAAATAACCATGAGGGAATTATATCTAAGGGTGAACCAGTTAGTTTGAGTTGATTAACAATGTCATTTAAAAAAGAAAGCAAAATAGGTGTCTGATTAAACTGACTAAAGACACCTGTATATTTTAAATGGCCTGCAGGATCGCCAGCAACCGATTTGGGGGCAGCATATGTGAATGTTAAAACCCCCAATAATTAAAAATCTATCAAAATTGGGGATGATTCCCCCCAAGAAATCTGCTAAAAAGCCTTTGTGTGGCTTTGGAGGCCTATAGACCACAGCAACAACTAACGGAGTGTCCAAGTCCAACACAAGCAACTGCAATTCAAAACTGTTATATGTAGTTCTTTGTATAGTCCGACATTGAAAACAATCTTTAAAAATTGAAACCAAATCGCCACCCATTCTCACAGAACGGGGGGAATTAAAAAATTGACAGTTGGGCGGTAAAAGCTCAGAGAAAGGAGTTTCCGTGATAAATAGAGAATCCAGGGCTCGGAAAGTGAAGAAGTCTTTAAGAATAAAAGTCTTATTTACCACAGACCTCGCGTTGACCAACGCCATCTTTATCTGCATGGAGTCTTCAAACAGCTGCGTTGCTCTACGCAGCGGGCGAAGATGATGTATAGAAACGCCGCGACGGCGGAGGCGAGGCCGTTGATCCCACAAGCTCGGTAGAATGGGTACGTTCCAGGAATAAGCCCCTGCAGATGAACGCCAGATAATGGAGCGGTTGCAATTACCTTCCCTCATAGACAGATCCAGATTAATGTTCTTGTCTCGCTGCTTGTCCGAAGCAGAAGCTTGAGCTTGACGGCTACACTGCCCCGCTTACCCCGTCTTTAACACAGCATTAATGGTATTAAAAAGGGTTCTAGGATTTTTGTCTATGAGAGTCGAAAAATAATCTGATTTGGCCACTCTCACCGCCTTCTTATTCTTAATAAGAGAATCCTTTAACATTTCATAAGAAATATGTAGTTTGTCCTTTTTCCATTTCCTCTTGGCCCTTCTACAAGCCTGTCATCAACCATGGCTCAGGAGTTAACTTGTGATGTTTAGTCCTCAGTGGAGCCACAGAATCCAAAATTGTAGTGCAGACAGAATTAAAACTGTAAAGCAGTTCATCAGGACTGAGCTCAGATGAAGCGAAAGCAGTAGAATGGGAAAACTCCTCAAACAGTGAAGAAAAAGAAGCAGAGGTAGCAGCAGTTATCCTCCGCATCAGGTGAGCCGATACATGAGGTTTTACAGCATTCAATGACAATGGCATGTTGAATATAATAGGATTGTGATCAGAAAAGCTGTGGTCGCATATCTCAATATCACCCATAGAGAACCCATGAGACATTATAAGATCGAGAGTGTGTCCATGTATATGAGTAGGTCCTTTAACAAGCTGCACTAAATCAAAGGCTTCTGTTAGGCTGATAAAGTCTTTTGCAAGTAGGGTTGGGAATCGAAAATCGATTCCGATTCCAGAATCGGATACTTGTTGTCAAATTAAAATTTCGATTCCGCCTATCGATTCCTATGTGCTTTTTTTTTTCTTCATCTGTGAGGACCGGAGAATAAAAGTCTTATTTACCACAGACCTCGCGTTGACCAACGCCATCTTTATCTGCATGGAGTCTTCAAACAGCTGCATTGCTCTACGCAGCGGGCGAAGATGATGTATAGAAACGCCGCGACGGCGGAGGCGAGGCCGTTGATCCCACAAGCTCGGTAGAATGGGTACGTTCCAGGAATAAGCCCCTGCAGATGAACGCCAGATAATGGAGCGGTTGCAATTACCTTCCCTCATAGACAGATCCAGATTAATGTTCTTGTCTCGCTGCTTGTCCGAAGCAGAAGCTTGAGCTTGACGGCTACACTGCCCCGCTTACCCCGTCTTTTCCAGCGCTTTTTCACAGGAAAATGATATGGTGAATGGTGTAAACAAGCCGGCAGGGATGCTAGGAAGGGAGGAGGCAAGTGCCGTGGTCCTTTCTGAAGTTGATTAAGTAGCACTTCAGAGGAGATTCGAAGATTTAAGAGCATTGCCGGTCGTATACTAAAATAGGCGATACGACTTGCGATAAAAGAAGCCAAAAACACATAGACATAAACAAACTAAAATATGCAGACGGCAGGCCACACACAACGGCGCCTTCTTGATTCCCGTTTTACCAGTCGGTAAACCGTTTTCAAGTTGTGTTATTACTGTGTTATTAATGTGTATGTATGTATGCATCATCATGTATGCATCATATAGGCCTATGTTTGCAGTATGTCTGTACTTTCTTCTGCACTGGAAGCTCCCTTACGAAAATTAACTATGGTTTACTACAAATTAAACCAAAAAACCATGGTTGCTATAGTTAAACCACAAATTAATCATGGTTTTGCTACACTAACCATAGTTTAACCATGGTATTTTCTAGTAAAACTGTGGTTACACAAATGGTAACAATGATTCGTCTGTTTCCTCAACCTTTGACGTGTGCTATCAATGTTGTGATCACTTGGTTCATCCGTGCAGCATACGATCACACCAGTGTGATTTGAACATTTAAATTTGCGTTCGCACTGCCATTGACCTAAAGAGAGCAGCTGTCTGTCATGAATGATACAGCTTCACAGTCTTGACAGCCACACAGTATCATTATTTCTGTGTTACAAACATTCAAATCAATTAATCATGGTTTTGCTACACTAACCATAGTTTAACCATGGTATTTTCTAGTAAAACTGTGGTTACACAAATGGTAATCAATACACCCAGACAGCGTTATTACAGGCTCTTCCACTTTCCTTATTACTTGGAAACTCTTCGGTAGGGTAATATTCTTGTGATGTGATTACTAGATGGTTGCCTTGTGGACGATCCATTATCAGTGAGTAGGATATTATCATTCGTTGTAGCCTCAAGCACCTTCCATCTTAATTTTTCTTTATTTATGGACATGACGTAAACATTATGTGTACAGAAAGGAAATAAGGTAAAAACATAGACTAAATTCGGCAATCTCCTCCCACTAATACAGTATACAGTAAAAAATACAGTAAATATGTGAATGTAATAATCTTTTCAAATACAAAAGTTTGTAGCGTATTGAAGCTCTATATAATTTAGACTTCTCCCTCAGGTATGCTGTGGGGGGCCAGTGCTTCCAAACAGTCAAAAGTATATATTTGTAACATTTTTTTTTTTTTACATTTATTCTGTTGCATATTAAATATCCATGTAAATTTTCAATGTAAATGCATTGTACTGTACATAGTTTTCCCTTTTTTCACAGATAGGATTAATTTAAATTTTGTTGTGATCATTGACAGCATCTGTGACGTTTAATATTTCTACACTACATGCTGTAAATGGGTGATTTCTGCAATATAAACACTAAAAGCAACCTGCAAGTTCTACAGTTTAAGCGTCAATAAACAAAATGTACAAAAATAATGACAGCCATTAAGCCATGTGTCAGACTGGTCAGAATGCTCAAACAGCAATGCTGAGGCACTTCTCTGGAGACTTAACCTACAAATGGCTTACATAGAGTTGTCTCTCCATGTTAAAATCGAATTAAAAAAAAAAAAAAAAACACTTTAACTTTTACGTTACATCCGAAATTGATAATATACAGTTGTTAGCCCATGTATTAAATAACATGCTGTGGTAATTGTCATGCTCTAGTAGAATTATCTTGTGTTTACACTGACTCTTGAGAGATAAAATACGATTAAAATAGAAAGTAATTTGACACTTCAAATGAAGATTTATCGATCACATTGTTACACCAGTAGGTGGCGAAAAAGGGCTGTATTGGTCTTTGAATCATACAAGAGATTCGTTCAAGAACACTGATTCATCCAGTAATGAAACAAGTACATCTTGAGTGAGTCATTTAATCATTAATTAATAAATTACATGTAATTTTGTTTAGTTGTCTAATGTTTTTTCTTCAGAATCATGAGAGAACCACAACTTCCACTGGGGGAAAAAAACAAAAACAAAACTCAATTTATCCAGAATCATGCAGTTCTATTTTGCACACAAACAGCTCTTAAAGAGTCCAGTTTTTATGTAGCCTGTTGATTTTTG